TTTTGTCCTCCGAAGCTCTGGCCCTCCATCAGAGCTCTGCAAAGCTCCTCGCTGGTTGCCAGCTCCTCCCAGCACACCCAGTAACACAGCTTTCCCCTTTGATCGCTGCAAGACTACACCGGCTTGTCGGCGGCTGCCCCGCTGCAAGTGGGCAAGGCTGGCCCAGGAGCAGAAGGTAGGAGCCACGGGGCTGAGCTGGGTCCTGCCAGCAAGTACCAGCTCCCGACGCTCGGCAAATGCTTTAGTTCTAGTTCTGCATCTCTGTTTTCCATGTATCTCTCTCCTCCTCCCACCTGGGAAAAAGCTCAGGGTTTGTATGTGCCCGACACGCAGCTGGGAATCTGGCGAGGCTGGATTGAGCCTCAGGGTTTAGTCGTATACATGAAAGATGAGGATGGTAAGTGGTAGAAGAGATTGTTCGCAGCTTGCTTCTGGGGTGAACGGAGAGGATCATGGAAATCCTGTCATCTCCAGAGACCGAAGTCTGTTTGTAGAGCAGAATCACTTTGTAAATAGATAGGCCTGTGTCGTTTGTAGCATAGATGCCTTCTTATGTATTTCCTTGCTTCAGGTCTCCTGCTTGACTGCCTAAGGTGAGCTGCTCCCGGTGGGAACCCTGGGAGGCTTCATGCTGGCTGTTGAGGCTGAAGTTTCTTCTCCTCCGGGTTCCCACCAGCACATTCGCTTCGGCAGTTGCCCGGTGGTGCTCCAGTCCCGTTTCCCAGCTGAGATGCCTGTAGCTCCCTCCAGCCATAGACATGAGCAGTAGCATCTTCCAGTGCAGAACATAACAGCTGCTGAAGCTGGGCCCGGGACATATCCCAGTGTTTGGAAATACTCAGCTCGGGGGCAGAAAGTGCTGACATTGAGGCTTTTTGGAATTGTGCTCTTGGGCCTGTCTGGCCTCACAGAGAGACAAAACTGCATTCCATACAGTGACAAGAGATAGGCCTACACCATGAGCATCGGTGCCAGGTGATGGCAACAGTCTGTGCTGAACAAGGGGGGCTTCCGAGTCTTGACAGTGGTCTGCAGAGTCACCTTCTCTCCATGCTTGGGCAGTGTAATGACCACACGCCAACACTCGCCCATCCAGCAGCTCCCACACCCTCCCCTTAGGAGTACTTTTTCTGTCTCTCTTCACATTTAAAGACTCTAATTTTCAGGAGACTTTGTCCCTCATTCTTTACATCCTCAGCCAGATATGGCTCCACCAACCCACCCTAGATACCTGCCTAGAGCTTCCAGTGTCCCTTTGCCTCCTTTTTAAGCAAACAAGAGGGGGATCCGTATAAAATCTGATGTTCTCTCTAACCAATGCCACCGTAAGCTGTTCAGCGCCCACCAAACACAGCAGCACTTGGACCCAAGCCGAAGCCACCAGACCCTCCCAAGAACATTCGAGGTAAGGCTGTGCCCATCCCCAAGGACGGGGGGCAGGACAGGTTTCTCCCCCAGTGCCCATAGGCCAGGACAACCCACCCGCCCTTGGCGTGACCCACCACCATACGATCTGCTCTCCTACTCAGAGGATCCACCTCAGCTCAGTTCTGCTCATCCGACCCCGGGGAGATCTTTTTGGAGACATGTTTGGGGCAGGGATGGCTGCAAGGGCACACACCTTCCCCTGACCAAGATTAATTGGGTGAGATTAATTGGGCTGATCGGCTGTGCGGGACCACCCTGCTCCCAACACCCGGTGGAGCCTCCTCCTGGGCATGGCCCCCTCCTCATGAGGGACAGGCACCACTGTGGGGGCTTCTGCACAGGGGTATGGCCCCCAGGGCCACCTGCAGCACCCAGGGCAGAGATGTGGGGCTTTGGAGCACCCCGGGGACCCACTGAGCTGCTCCTTCCCCTCCGGGCTGCCCCACTTCCCTCATGGCGGGGACAGCAGGCCCCGGTCCCCTCACGCTGTGCCAGGCCGCTGCTGAGCGCCCATGAGGAGAGGCCACCACGTTCCCTGCTCAACCATCGTGCCAGGGGATGGAGGAGGCTGTGGAGGCAGAGCAGGGCCTGGGCACCATGGTGGCTTGTCACAGCCACGGAGGGTGGAGAGGCCATGTTGGTGGAGAAGGGTTTGGACACCGTGCCAGCCCACCGTGGGACCAGGGGAAGCCATGGAGACCTGAGGAGGCCCCAGTGCCACAGGAACCTCACAGATGGCGTCAGCGGCCTTGCTCTGACCATGGCTGAGCCCTGGGGGTGGGGAGCACCGCCACCTCCTGCCATCGCTGTCACTGTGGGGACATGTCCGTCACCAGTGGATGTAGCTGGCAATGCCCACCCAGTGCCTCCCTGAGCACCGCAGTGCTGTACAAGGGCTGGCATACCACAAACACCAGTGGGACCCACGCCTAAACACCCTGTGAGATCTCAGCGCTGCTCAACCTTGCCCCTTACTGGGGTTACCAAAGCACAGACACACACACCCCCCCAAATACCAAACCCCATCAGCTCAATTTGGAAGCGACGGCCTTTACCCCCGGCATCCCAGTCATTCTGTGTGGGACAGGGTCTGGCTGGCAGCACAGCCCCAAGGAAGAACCACCCTGGCCGGGGACAGCCCCTTACCCTGAGGAAATAGCCCAGCCCAGCCGGTGGCCCTGGGAGCCCTTTCCCCACCACAGCACTCAGATATGTTTTATTGTTTGGCGTAGCGGCTCCGAAGAGCAAAGCAGGGCGCACAGCACACTCTGCAGGCAAGAGGCACGGGAAGAAACCAGGTACGTGGTGGTGGGGATGAGCCAGGCTGGATCAGTGCGTGCTCTGTTGGACCCCATAGCAAGCCCGGCCAGATACCACCTCCGTAGTGTTTGTCATCCTAGCTGTACTCCTAGCAGCTTTTTGGGTGCCACTTGGCATGACCTCCATCAAACTGAGGCCATGGCCAGCAGATTTTTTTTTTTAAGCTGTTTAGGCTTGTAGATGCTTAGTCTGAATAACCGGATTCACGCCACCAAACGCGTGTAATGGGGGACGTGCGAGTAGCTCCCCTGCCTCAGCTCCCGCTCTGCGCATTGCCATAGTGTGGTGCATTGAGTTTTTCAAGCATCAAACTTTGAGGTGGGGAGAAGAGGAGAAATTTAGCAGCTACCAGCTGTCTGGTGCAGAAATAGATGCCGGCGCTGCCAGAGCGGTGTTCTTGGCTCGGCTCGGCATTGTTCTCGTAGGAGAGCTGCTCGTGGTAGGGTAGGATGCGGAGCGGTGCTGAGCGGCAAGAAAAAGCGTATCTCTGATTTTTCTTAAGCATCCTCAAAGAGCTCAAAACTCATCCGGCTCAAACCAGACTCTGGCCCAGTGGCTCCTATTGAAACATATAAAGGTAAGAGGAGGGAATGCGGTGCTCCAGGGCTCCTGATCTTCACCCAGGTGATGGGGTCCAGCAGCCTCTGACATGGAGAAGATGGGGAGGGTTTGCTTATCGGAGTTGTGGCTAGCTGTATGTAGGAGTGCATCCCTAGGGTGAAGCAGTGCTTGGGAATTGCAGCAGCCAGAAGTACGTGAGCTGAAATTCTTTGGATATTGGTCAAACAGGCAGAAGTTGTTTCACAGAGGGTCAAGATTACAACGGACTCTCAGCTCCTCCTCAGGCAGCTGTGAACCATGGGGAAACCTCTGCCCTGCTCCATCTTCCCTGATCATCATTTCATCGAGAAAAGTCTCCTCCTCCCATCTCATGTGCATGCCAACCCACACCCTTCCCTCCCATCCCTCCGCCATTCTCGAATATTTAATGCTACAGCTTGGAACAAAACCCCAGCTCCGAGCCTCCCTCCTCCTCTCCGAAGGCTGGGGAAGCTCAGACCTGGCTGACACTGTTTCTGCTCACATTATCCCCTGCCCGTGGTGGCTGGGACACCTCCTGACCAGGGCAGCAGGGCCACGAGGCCACTAGGGTACCTCCTCTCCTCCTGCATTATACTTTTAAACTTCCAGAAAGATCCAGCAGCCTGAATCTAACACTGCAAGGTAGTCACCATCCCATCATGGTAATAAAAAGCAAACACAAGAAGCAAGTAATCAAATTCCTCTGGCGGCAAATTAAATCTAGCTGCTTGCTTTCTAACATGTGCCCACGGCTGAGAGAGGTCAGCCCTGGGGACAGGAGCAGCGCTCGGCCAAGCGATGGTGGCATCTCCTACCCCACCAGCAGCCTTTGCAGGCATCCCTGGGCTGTGCCAGGCAGCTCTGGTTCAAACCCTCACGCACTTGTCCAGCGTCTTTTGAAGGACCCCACGCAAGCCCCGATTCCTTGCATACGCTCTTTTTAAGCATTTAACCTGAGAGTCACCACGCTTTACAACCAGCATTGATTCGGGAGGTACAACAGCAAGGGGGATGCAGAGAAGAGACACAGAGAGGAAAAAGCCAGGGAAGCAGCGAGGTTTTACCTGGACACGCAGCAGCTTCAGCTCCACTTCAGCCTTGTCCAGGGCCTTCCCCATCACTGGAGGCAGCGAGGGCTGCACCCTCTGCCAGCCCCATCCATGGGCCAGTGCCCTCCTTGGCACAGCGAGGCAGAGCGCAGCCTTCGGCAGAGCCTTCCCAGGGGCTCTGCGCCCCGACCCAGCTCCCTTGCAGCTCCTGCAGCCTCACCAGAGCCAAACCCAGGCACCAAGCTGAGCTCTGCTCATTAACAAGGCGGCTCTTTAATTAACACCTGGTTCCCTCCACTGCCTGCTCCCATGATTATGCATTTCCTTAAAGACATCGTGTCCTGGGACAGCCGGGGCTGGCTTCTGCCTGTCCTCACCCCAAGGGGACGGAGCCTCCTGACCCCACTCTGCCTTCAGAGCAATGACTTCCAGCCCGATCCCCCCATGGTGGCCACTGTGTGCACTCATCCTGCCCAGCCCACCCCAGCCCTGCGTGGGCAGTGGCCATGGCATTTCACCCAAGCAGGAGCCTCCTCCAAAGCCTTGGGACTCCTTTCCTCCGCCCGGAGCAAGGGAGGATGCTCCCAGCCCAGGTCCCCAGCTCTCTCCTCCTCTCCGCAGACTGCGAGTGCTACGGCCACTCCAACCGCTGCAGCTACATCGACTTCCTGAACGTGGTGACCTGCGTGAGCTGCAAGCACAACACGAGGGGCCAGCACTGCCAGCACTGCCGCCTGGGCTTCTACCGCAACAGCTCGGCCGAGCTGGACGACGAGAATGTATGCATAGGTGAGCGCTTCGGTGGCCTTGGGCAGCGGCGCCGGGACATGGGACGGCTCGTGTCGGACCTCGCTCTATGGGGTGGGCTTCAGTTCAGCCCCTCTCTGGTGTCCACCTGCATGTTCCCCAAGGACAACAGCCGTTACGGTCTTTGCAGCCTGCCAAGGCATTTCTTCCCTGAAAACAAAGCCCAAATAATATCTTTCCAACTTGATTCAGATGCACTGCTCGCCCAGGAAGTGCTCAGCTCCAAAGGGGGGTGGTCTTTGCACCCATGGCTGTTTGCACTGTTGGGGTCTGTCATGCAACCACACCCACCCAGCCCCTCGGTCCCTCCTGTAGCATGTAGCCAGGCTTTTCCAAAGTCCCCAACACCTTCCTCAGGGCATTGGGAGGCACAACCCCCCCAGGCAGGACAGGCACTAACTAATTCTTTGGCCAGAATGTAACTGCAACCAGATCGGCTCCATGCACGACCGCTGCAATGAGACCGGCTACTGTGAATGCAGAGAAGGCGCCACGGGGCCCAAGTGCGATGACTGCCTACCCAACTACTACTGGAGACAGGGCTGCTTCCGTGAGTGCCGGGGCCAGAGCGAGGGAGGTGTGAGACGGGTCCAAACAAGGGGGGGAACCTCCAGCGCTGCCTGCTCGGGTGCCCCGTGATGCTCAGGGTATAGGGTGAGCAGACTCCAGCCATTCCTCCCAAATCCAAAATGACTTGGTAGCTTTGCCCTGGGAGTTCGCAGCCCTCATTATGTTCCTCTGGCCTTGGGACTGCTCTAGCACTACGAGGGTTGGATAATTCAACTCCTCAGAGCTTGAGAAGAAAGCCAAAAGCTTCTAGTTTCTGCTGCAGTCAAGGGGTTTGACGTACCCCAAATTAACACCCACGTCCTTCCCTCCCTCCCCCCTTGTAGCCAACGTCTGCGACGACGAGCTCCTGCTCTGCCAGAACGGTGGCACCTGCTACCAGAACCAGCGCTGTGTCTGCCCCGTGGGCTTCAAGGGGGTCCTGTGCCAGCAATCCAGGTGCGAAGCTGACAAAAAGGACTG